TTAGTAGGCTCTCGTTCCAACTGCAAAATCATCTCCTCCAAATGTGTATAGGTTCCTTCCTAGAAATGGACCTTAACTTGTTTTACAGAGTATTCCACCAGACAAGAATATGATACGAAAATAGCCTTTAGTGACCTCATAGCTGCCTTTGCCACAGTTAACAGATAACTTATCCTGCAATGTCATCTCTGATATCAAAGGAAAACTAATACGGATCCAAAGATACCCGAGCAACAGAACTGCCAAAGCAATATATAAAGCACTACCAACGCCTCTTCGGAAATAGAGCATCTTAGGTTGGAGTGCTTAGCTCTCCTTTCTTCATACTGATACACACTCCCAACGCATTTCTTTATTAGGGGAGTAATAATATCCTCATCAACTCTACTAACTCTGCATGTGATATATCGTTCTGAAATGATAATGCCCTCTGGCTTCTGATCTGCTAAAATGAAACCTTAGAGGCTTCCTTAGCAAGTGTATCCGTTGCGGAATGTGTGAATATATCAATACCTCATATATGAAATGGGGTATATATGGGGTATGTCAGGAAAAAAACTAGCTTTAGTTCCCACATTGTAACTCGTATAGAACAATGTGGCAGAGTAGTATAATACAGGTGTTTTCATACAGTGTAACTCTCACAGGAAGCCACGCACTACAGGTATTCTTACCACGTAACTATCGTAGAATAAACAAGAGCCACAATGTCGGCGTTCCCAGCATGTAAACCTCATATAGAATAAGGTAACAAAAAACTACACGTCCCATTGAGTAGCCACACACTGCAGGTGTCTCACTATACAACTATACAACACTATACAGAACAGGGCAACAGCACACTGCGAGTGTCTTATTTAAAACAACAAAATACACTTTCCCGTTGACATCTTTCTCCCTTTACTCGACCCTCCAGTCCTAACTTAGTAATCTGTTACTCTGGTGTTTGGTGTCATTTCATTCTTGTTTAGCTGTGGAGGTTGGCCATTCACAGACTTGAATGGGTGCGTCGTGTCCCTTTATGGCAAGTAAAGCCCCAGACACACTGGAGGGGAGGGTCTTCCCGGTCGAGGCAGGTTGCACCCGATAACCTTTAGCACACGACAGTGCAGGGCTCCCTTACACATTTGCATTTGTGACTGGTTATACCTTTGATATACCTCTGGTGGGTTTCGAGTTTTCCTGCTCTCGCTGCCCGACCCTGGGCCGTAGATTTGTCTGGTGCTTGCCTCGTCAACCAAGCTGTTACTGCTGGCGGACCGCTTGCCCGTATGTCCGTCACAGACTGGCTGATCTGGCAACTGGAGGAGATTGTCCTGTTTCCACTTGAAGACTTTTACACTTGTTCCATCAGTGTTTTTATCTTCTGGTAGGATGTTAAAAGAAAGTCTGGGACCACCTATGATGATGCAATGTTCTCTTACTGTGTTCACGTCGCCCCTGCCTTTCGCTAGAGTTGCTCTACACATTGCCCCATCTCTCTCACTCCAGTATGCTGTTAAGACAGCGTGAGGATTTGGAATCAGGTGCTCAAGTACTTTCCACGTATATATTATACACTCAACTTTCACTCTCTACGCTCCAGCGAATACAATGCTGTACTGCCTCTATGCGGGCCGTAAACGGTCTTCGAATCTGTTCCAGCTTTGATATCTCTTGCCCCGAAAGAAGCCGTCAGCACTGAACAGTAACCCCATTGTTTTTCTACCCTCCATGTCAGCATCTGATCAACCAAGCTCTACCACACAAGGTATATAATACCGACAGATGTATAAATTAGACCTTTGACACGTGCAACCTTTAAAAACTTTTACTGCGTTACGTGGTGCTCCCTGGGATCTTTTTCAATCCAATGACTGAAAAAGATCCTGTCGAGCGAAATGTATCCTAATAAAAGCCTCCACACGCTGCACATATGTCTAATGTAAACATCAGCCAGGCTGTTGCTACCTGTAGGTCTTGACATCACCCGGCATCACCCCACAAGAATAATGTCACGAACTTTTTTTTTTTTTTTACTCCGCTAATATTTCAATGACCTCTGATGCTGAGGCAGTTTCTTTGTGTTTCAGACACCTCGCTTCTCATGGGGTTTATTCTACGCTTCTTCCGGTATCTCTCACTCATGGACGATATGTATTACGGTAGTGTGCAGAGATTAAGGACCTCGCTTTTTCAGTATTGTCCATATACTAGATATATTCTCTCTCTCATCTTCGTTCCAGAGAGCGCTCAGAGGTGTTTCCAGCTGATAAGCGCAATTTAAAAAATCATGTACCACCTGAACAATTACATTAATTACTTGGTGGCACACACAGTTGTGCAATTTGTGCCCCCCAAACACAAACACAGTTGTGTAATTAAGTAATTTATCCTGAAACATATATAGAGTATTATCATACCTTAAGCCCGTGAAATAAACGCCTTAGTTAAGAAAGTATTAAAAACATACTTCTTTACAATATTGAAACTTAAAGGCACGAGCTATCGTACCTCCATTTCAAAGCCTAGCACTAAGATACACTGCAACGCCTTTCCCCATGATGCGACCCACAAGAGTTAAATAACACCCAGGTACTTATTACTGTTAGGTGAACATAGGCAGAAGTTCCAGGAAAACTTACTTGCACTTTAGCCTCAATCTAAAAATGACTTAAAACATTCTTTCCTTACAAAACCAGAATACTATTTATGCATTTTGTTATTGGGACCAGCCATATTACCACAGTCATCTGTAATGACGCTCTGGTGGTGCCTCGCATAGTGACTGATCACCCAGTTCTAGACTCATTACTTTTTAGCTCGTGGATTTTGTCGTACTTTTCCTACAACTGTGATATGGGGGGACCTGCAGAATATACTTAGTGAAAAGCAGAGGTATCATAGGAAGAATTGGAGAACATTGCCAGCATCCATAGTTCAACACTATTCAACCTGCTATCAGCAGATATAGTACAAGAAGTGTTGTTTGAAAAAAGGCAGAAGTTTTCAAGAGGAAATAGGACCACTATCTTCTGAAACTTTATCAACAAGATCGTGATAGTTATGCGGAGCTGCGGGCCGCTAGCAGCAACAACTTGGCTGACTAGGTAGTCAACATGAAGTTTGGTCTCAGGTCGAGCTACAAGAACCCTTGAAAATGGTCACATTTGTTGTTACGGTTAAGTTACTGTAGTTACTAGTCTAACTGTTCTTGTAGCCTGTCTGCATTAACTTGAATTTGTTCCCTGTCACCTGCTACCATTGTAGTGATCCTTGTGGGGTCCCAAGCCTCATGTTAGTTCATCCTGATATGTCCTCCTTGGACATCGCTCTACGTCTTATGTCTGCAAGTGCATTGGCTCCATGTCTACATTTTCGTTTATCACCAATCACTAATAAGGCTATGTCGAACGACAGGATTTTCATTGCTATTATATTTGTATATGGAACCACCGATTTCACCTTGAATTCTTATTTTTTAATGAAAATATATTTGGTGCTACGTAGTTATTACGTTACATAAAAATAGATGCGGGCGCCGAGGGGTTAAAGGCCAAACTTATTCCTTTACAAAAGAAGTGTTAATTAAATGGTTAATACTTATATTTATGATAATGAAGGACACAAAAACTAAATGTACAAAAATATAACTCTGGTAAACTAACATATACAACCTACCCACTACATAAAAATAATCACCAAACACCAGTACACCTTTAGCAAGTACTCGCATTAGCTCACTAGCACACTGCTACTATTAAAACAACCTATGACCTAAACTTCCCAAAAAGCCACCCCTATACACCAAACCATGACCGTCTTATGACGTTTTGCTCCAGCCACCGCTCTTCCAGTCTGCCACATATACACCTCTCCTGCTCCTGTCCTGTCCTGTACTGGCTACTCAGAACAAACCCCGTAAACTGACATTATACATGGAGCGTCTTTCTTTTTTGGTTTACACATTTTCTACAATACCCTGCGTAATAGCCAGCCCTGGAGATCTAATGAGTTGGCACTTCAAACCTATGAGAATTGACGATTTTTTTTTTTCCACAGGAGTACATTGGTGACTGCAGTAGTATGTTGGAGGAACTGCTGTGCTACCGTATTGAGAAAGACGGCTTCTCTCCGTCACAGTGACAAGTCGCCTTCCAGATACATTAAGATGTCGGCACACACCTGTTACGTGCTTGCCGGGGTTGGTACTCGGCTCCTGGCCCCCGTCTCTTAGACAACTATGATCAGCATCTTATTTCTGGCCTCGTGAGTCTTGTATTAGCTTTGAAGCTGTTTTAGTCTGCATCCATCATGCATGTATCAGTAGTTTGCTCTGAGGTGAACCAATGCTGTGATGAAGTAGAAGTGAAACTGAAGTGTGTACGTAAGAGTGGTATGAATGGTTTAGATTTTTAAGGCTGCGTTAAATCGATATGCATGAATTGAAGTATAGTGCGTAGGTTTCAATATTAAGTTTGAGCCGTATACGGATATCTGTGCACATGCTTAATCACTCAGAATGCAAAGGATTTAGCTTACGATTATCTCCATTGTGAATATTAACCACGTTATACCTCCTCAGCCTTGCCAGAAAATGAAAATTATGAGCAGTGCCAGTATCTACCCAGGAACAAGCTCTTCTGTAGTGTACAGTGTAGATCACGGTGCACGGTACAGGTTACGGAACCCGATACACCCTACAGCAGAAAGTACAGGTTGGGATGCCCGGTACAAATAGAGGTGTATGGTTCATCCTGCTGCAGTGTACGGTACAGGTAGAGGCCCTGTCTCAAACTAGGTATCCTGTTGACAATCTGGTCAATCAGGCTGTCGGTGCTCCCACTGAAAAACGTAACGGGTGTTGCAGTTAGAAGATGGGTAACGAAACCACTGACGAGGCCACCATAACACAGACGCTGGCCAAGTTGCCCATACCACTCAGAACCCACAAAAATGACACACACCCCGGGTCCACACAGGTCATGATGTATGAAGGATGAAAAAAAAAGAACAGAAACCTGCGGTAATCATGGAGGAGGTAGCAGAAACATCGGGTGGAGGTGGAGTGGCAGACGACCCCCCCGGGGTGGTGGTGGTGGTGGTAGTGGTGGTGGTGGTAGTGGAGGGGGCGGTGCTGGGGTGATGATGGCGGAGATTGTGGTAGTGGTGAAGTAAAGCGAGTTGTTGAGGGTGGAAGAGGCGACCCCGGATATCTGGTGACGAATAAAAACATTTTACAATTCCACCATTTTTAAGTACCACATGGGCACGCACGTACGAGTGTGCACACAAACACACACACACACACAAACACACAAGAATAAAGGTCACAATAACGTGGCTGAACAACTCACAACCAACAAATTGCAAATGAAAACTGAAAAACATTTAATAGGTTAGTTGTAAAAAGCGTACAACACATAGTAAATACATTGTGCAGGTGAAAGTAAGGATGGAATTAAGTAGAGAATAGGAGACTAAAAAACCCAAGAAGAGAGAATAAGAGGTACTATCAGAAACAAACCTGGATAAAGAACTCTTTAAGGTAAGACACCACATGACATAATAGCTGGCTCAACAAAAATTACAAAGATGCCATATAGCCTCACTCCAACGACAGAGGGAGAAATACAAGACAGCCTATGGTGTATCTTGGGTGAGTTTCGCGTATTTTATTTTTTACTCCCGGAACTCGATTGGGCCAGGTACTAAGACAGCCCATGATATAGTAAACAATGAGAGGGAGAGGTAATCGTAGAACCCATGGTACAGTAAACAATGGTAGAGGGAGAGGCAATTGTAGAACCCATGGTATAATTAACAATGACAAGAGGGAGAGGTAATTGTAGAACCCATGGTATAGTAAACAATGACAGAGAGAGGAAATTGTAGAATCCATGGTATAGTAAACAATGACAGAGGGAAGAGAGGTACTAGGAGAACCCATGGTACAGTAAACAATGTATGGAAGGTAAACAGTGGATTAAGAAAGGGAAAAATGGAAAGCATGAGTGGAAAGCATTATATTCAAAGGGAAGCGTTAAACCGGTAAGGGTCATAGAAACTGGCGAATAGGAGGCAATCAGGTTTGATCTAGGGGTATGGCAACTCTAATTCCTTGGTTCAAGAGACTGTCACCAGCATCAACGCACCCCACTTGACGGAACAAGAGAACATGGAAGACGATTAAGGACTGGGTACATCAGACTGAGAGAAACAATATGAAAATGTTATGGAGTTTGGCAATAGTACAATTCTGCACAGTCATATTCAAGAGGACGCTGTCATTAACTGATATGATGCTAAACGACGCAGCTGTAAGAAGTGGTGAAAAGGCATCTTAACCATCTAATACATTTTAGACGTTGAGACCAGATATCTGACATGAGTACTTAAGGGGGCTGCTGAGGAACCAAGCAAGTCAATATCCAGGAGCTATAGCATATCACTGGAGACAAATGTCAAAATGAGTTGCTAAAACTGCAAATATTGTATTATCTCCAAGAAAAGAAACAGATGTTACACTGCAGACCAGCGTAGTTGGCATTCACATCCAGGAAGATAATTGAAAATTAAACAGAAAACACAAAAGTTACTTGTACTGGGCAGGAAGGGAAAGGGACGTCTGGGTAAACTTCACATTTCTTGACTGTCAGGAGAGCCTTTGATATACTCCTAAGTTCCCACAGGAGACTTGGAAGTACTACAGTGAAGGAATACCTAACATAGTGTGTCACAGTAAAGAGAAATAACACGCAACATCCCGCGAGGGTCAGTCCTGAGAACAACGTTGTTTCTAATATACCATATATTAATGAGAGAAATAATACTCCAAATCAATGTTTACACGTGATGTAAAAATAACGAGAATAAGAACAGTTGCGGACTGAAATAGGCTACAGATCAAACAAGTAGTTACCAGAGCTCATCACACACCCACAAAAAATGCAGTGTAACGAGAATGGGAACAGGAGGTAGCTGGTTAGTCTTATTACTTGAAAGGAAGGCCAACTTACTCAGAAAGAAAAAAAAAAATACCTAGAAAGGGCCATGACATGAAGCCTCTCTCGTGAGGCACACACAACACAAGATACATCAGCGGCACAAGGAAATCGAATAACTGTAAGAACTGTACTCAAAATTCACAGGTCAGAGGAACAACATACGCCGTCTAAGCAGCGTCAGAGTTGAAATATGCGAAGCCTCATCAAGCAACAAAGAAAATGAAGAAAATGTAGAAAATCTGTTTACCACAAATCTGGTTTCATAACTTAAAGAGTTGTTGCTATTGATTTATTAGCCAGAGAAAAATCATCTGAGATGGGTCTTACTGACATAATCCCTCAGTAGCTCATTAACTACTTTAAAATGTGTCATGCTTACACGGCAAAATATATGCGAGAAAGTGTGGAGTAAACCCGGTGAAGTGCAGAACACCGTGTCAACGTCCGTGATCCACGACTCTTCAACCTATTACCAGCAGATACCAGACATAATAACGGAACGAAAATAGAAGTTTTCAAGAAGTTTAAAAGCTTCGTGCTGCAACTGCCTGATCAGCCGAGTTGCGATGGCTATGTGAGCCTGCGAGCCGCTAGCAGGAACAGCGTGGTTGACCAGGAGGTAAACAATGAACCTGACCTCAAACTCGGTCTCGGGTACGTAAAATGTAAAAGAGCCGAGATATAGATTAAGAGAACTAAACTGCATGTCGGTAAGAGGCACAAAGAAATATAGGAGATATGATCACAACGTAAAAAGATACTAAGGCATACCAACAAAGTAAAGAGGACTACCTATTAACTTGGGAGAGAAATGAACAGGGGTGGCACAAATGGAAACTATTTAGCTCAAGCGCGCCTTATCAACTAGGTTGTTGGTGCCCACAATCAGCAGATCGACAGAATCATTATTTCCAGGCTGATTAAACGCCCTCAAAGTTGCATAATCCCGTTTATCGTGATATCTACCTTGGCATTTTTTTTATCTACAAGATGAAGACATTACCAAGGATGCTGACCTCTACTTTTCACAGTGATTATTCCACATTTCTTGCCGCATCTTTCACTCCATTACCCTAGTTTAGTGTGCAGAGTAGGCATCTGGAGATTGATTATTTATGTAAACATTATGAACTCTCAAAGTATCAACCACAGCTATGCAGTTTAAGAATCACTTTGTCTTTACCTTTGATGAGTTTCGAGAGTCTCTGTACTCCCGGAGCCAGGCTCGTCTGATGCTAGCCTGGTCAACCAGGCTGTTGCAGATGGAGGCCCGCCGCCCCACATATCCATCACAGCCTGGTTGATCTGGCACCTGGTGAAGATACTCGTCCACTGTATATTTTCCAGTTGGAATATCTTGCTTACAGAAAGTGAGCACAGTACGGTGTTCAAGAAAGCACGAGTTTCCTCAAGCATTCTATCAGTGATGTATTCCCTATTTTAAAGGTTCTCATTATCCACCCTATCATTTTCCAGGCCAATGTGACGTTCTTTGCTTATTACAGTTCTGATCAAGGCTACGTTTCTTTTTCTCATTTTCCTGGTCAAGCCTATGTTTCTTGCCCAACATTTTCCTGGTCAAGCCTATGTTTCTTGCCCAACATTTTCCTGGTCAAGCCTATGTTTCTTGCCCAACATTTTCCTGGTCAAGCCTATGTTTCTTGCCCAACATTTTCCTGGTCAAGCCTATGTTTCTTGCCCAACATTTTCCTGGTCAAGCCTATGTTTCTTGCCCAACATTTTCCTGGTCAAGCCTATGTTTCTTGCCCAACATTTTCCTGGTCAAGCCTATGTTTCTTGCCCAACATTTTCCTGGTAAAGGCCACGTTTCTATTTCCCTGGTCACGGCTATGCTTCTATTTTTCCATTTTCCTAACATTTTCCTGGCCTAGGCAATATTTCACACCCGTCTGTTAGGTAACCTTAAAAAAAAAATATTTCCATTAGTCTAATGTTCACATTTCTGAATCCAAATGGGACAAAATTTCGCTCTACAAAGAGCGAAACGTTGTCCCAAAGAAATCTTGGTTGGCAGCGTATTTTCTTCACCTTTCGGTCCCACCCTAAGCTGTTTACATGACTCACGAAATCGTAATGACACGATTGCAAACAAACCATATCACGGGCGGGATTGAACCCGCGGTCAGAGAGTCTCAAAACTCCAGACCGTCGCGTTAGCCACTGGCTTACGCGACGTGGTATGGTTTCTAAGCTCTTTCCAATCTATTAATTCACTAAAGAATAAAAAGGCACAATACCGTGACTGGACCAATAAACAAATAACACGCACACATGAGACAAACTTATGACGACGTTTCGGTCCCACTTGGACCATTAATTAGTCACGCATTTGTGTGACTAGTTAATTTACATACAAATGCACTAGCTTTGATAAAACCAAGTGCGATACTTTGAAGACCTTGAAGGGCTCTTGATCCAAGGAATTACAGCCACCCTCCTTTTCCTCGGATCAAAGACTCTCAATAATCAAGCCGTATCGCTCCTGGAGAGCGAAACGTTGACACCATAAAGTGGTACTGCTACCATTAATAATAAAATACAAAATACAAATATAAAATGTTAATACTGAATAAGTAGCCACAATCCTCTGAACCAGTAGGCGGAAGGCAGTCATGGAGGAGGAGGAGGAGGAGGAGGAGGAGGAGGAGGAGGAGGAGGAGGAGCAGCAGCAGCAGCAGCAGCAGCAGCAGCAGCAGCAGCAGGAGCAGAAGGAGCAGCAGCAGCAAAAGGAGCAGGAGCAGCAGTAGGAACAGCAGCAACAGTAGGAGCAGGAGCAGCAGCAGGAGCAGCAGCAGCAGCAGCAGCAGCAGAAGGAGCAGCAGCAGCAGGAGCAGCAGCAGCAGCAGCAGAAGGAGCAGCAGCAGCAGCAGAAGGAGCAGCAGGAGTAGGAGCAGCAGCAGCAGGAGCAGCAGCAGCAGCAGCAGCAGCAGAGTACAGCAGGGAGCGTGGGCACAAGAAAGGCATAAAGCACACAACATTGACACAACCACTTGATCATGGCCACGTCATCGTACTTACCTGGCTGTGTTTACTCATTCACAGTTTCTGCCTCCCGCCACTTAAACTCTTGTCGACCAGTATTACCAATATCTGCCCTCAGGGGATGATCATACCTACTCTTGAAACTGTGAGGTATCTGCCGCCTCCCCCACATATACTGCTGTGTGGTATTTGCTTCTACCATTTCC